CATCAAAGACTGGAACCGGGAATTTGGACTTAGCTGTGAGAGCATTGAGATGGCGGAAGTCGACGCAAAACCGGTAGGACCCATCTTTTTTCTTGACGAGGAGCACTGGTGAAGAAAAGGCACTAGCGATTGGCTGAATAATTCCTTGGGACAACATTTCATTGACTTGGCGCTCGATCTCGTCCTTCAGGCTTGGTGGATAACGGTATGGCCGAATAAATATTGGACTGGCACCGGGCAGCAAGGGAATCGAATGATTGCAGGCCCTGGAAGGTGGCAGCTCCACTGGTAGGGTAAACAAATCAGGGAATGCATCAATCAAGGTTTGGATTTCTGGTGGCAACGTCTGCTGAGAAGAGATGGCACTGGAGGAAGTGGACAGGTTGTAGAGTTGCAACAGTAATGGAGAGGGAGGCTCCTCATCGATGCCTTGCAGCAACACGGAGTTGCCATGATACGGGATGAGCAACCATTTTTGGAGCCAGTGGACTTGCATTGGACTGAATGCAGATAACCAGTCCATGCCGATAATAGCATCAAATGCTGTCAGTGGAAGAATCCAGAAATCAGATGAAAAGGTGCACTGATCAATTGTCCATGGCACCTGACTGAGAACGCCTGAACTCTGAAGGAAACCACCAACGGCAACTTGCACCTTGGTTGGCTGCTGAATGAGCTGAGCTGTGGACAGCTGAGAGGCCAACGACTCACTGACAAAGGAAGTGGAACTGCCAGAGTCGACAAGAATCAAGGCAGGGATGCCAGCCACAGTCCCAGAAAGTCTGATAGTACGAGAAGCACTGGAACCCATAGCAGCTGCCTTAGAGATAGCTACACAGCACAACTGATCTGGTATAGGTTCTTCAACACTGGGCCCGTTTGGTTTCTAGGACTAAAGTTTAGTCCCTGTCAGATCGAATGTTTAGATACTAATTAGAAATATTAAACATAGACTATTTACAAAACCAATTGCACTGATGGAGGCTAATTTACGAGACGGATCTATTAAGCCTAATTAGTCCATGATTTGACAATGTGATGCTACAGTAACATGTGCTAATGATGGATTAATTAGCTTGATAGATTCGTCTCGCAAATTAGCCTTTGTGTAATTAGTTTTATAATTAACTCATATTTAGTCCTCCTAATTAGCCTCCGAATATTCGATGTGACACGGATTAAACTTTAGCTCAAAGATCCAAACACAATTTAACAGATGCACTCCCATCAGGCCACCAGCAACTGTCTTTGCTGATGCTTCAGCAATGGACTTCGAGTTTGCAAAGGACACCATTTTTCTCTTATGGCCAGACTGCACAAAAATGGTTTGAAATTACTTCACTGAAATTGACTTCTCGTTTCATATCACTTCACTGAAATTTACTAACCTGAAGATAAGATGAGCCAGTAGCTATTCCAGCACTTGATTATGAGGCTGCACGCTTTCTTTTAGATTGCTTGGATTGTGCAGGTTCTATTGCCAGTGGTGTGGTACTTGCCTGACTTAGTGCATTGTTGGTCTGCTGTTGTGAAGGATTTTGTGACCCTAAGCCTCCCTACAGTAGTTAAGACACCCAAAGTTTGTGCTACATAAAGACTAAAAAAACCTGCAGTTCCTTCTCCTTGAAACACCATCACTGTCCTCATCATATGATGCATCATGGTCTAAGTCAAAATATACAATGCCATCTCCACCTTCATTGAGTTGAGTACTGTTTATATTAGTCTCTTCAGGAATTTCCAATGTAACTAGGGTGTCCAATGGAATCTCTCTTCCTTGCTTCTACCTTAAACTCTTTGTATTTGGTTCTTATTTCCCTTACTTCATCATCATCATCACTTGTAAATCCTGTGGCATCAAAATCACTGTCTTCTTCTTCCTCCTCATCCTCCTCATTTTCTACATGTTGGTCACCATTTTGTCCATTCTGACCATCCTTAAGAGCTACTGGAGCATCCAAATTCATTATGTTATCATCTCAAAACAGGTCAACACATCATCATCACCATATTGTATCTCTGTACCTTCATTGCCACTCATGTCCAACTCAATTACTTCAGTGTATATGTCCACAGCCCCAACAGAACCTATCTCATCAAGCATGTCCATGCATGACTTATCATCTACAAGCAGCCTCATTGCACTATTTAGCTTTGCACCAATTGGCAACCAGTACATCCTAACAAATCTATGAAAGGTTGTGTGATCCAATTGATAATTTATCCTTGTCTATGTGTGACACTCCCAAATCCTCATCACAATACTGCATCTGCGACCCATTAAGAACAAATTCCCCGTTGAAATGAAATCTAACAGCTAATACCTCGACATCTGCCATGTCAAAATCCGCCCTACAGATCCACTGCATGGTCAAATTCCATCCAAAAATGAAATCAAACTCAGATCCTTCGAGTACAACTTGAACTCGTCTTCAACCGTCGGCGCACCTCCGCGATCCAGGATCTTCATCCCACGGATTCGCCAAACAACCAAGAGAAGCCAGACTCCTCCCGTCCAGGACGTCGTCCACCCCCTCACGAAACCCTAGTCCTCATGTGCAGTCGCCACGGGGAGGGAGAAATGAGAGGTGGCTGCTATCCTGTACCTAATGTAAAAAAGAAGAGAGGGGTAAAAGGGTCAATTCAAGACAAATCGAAACCCTAGCTAACTGGGCGATGATGAGGCGGGCCAGCGTGGCGCGCCACGTCGGCGAGAAGGGACAATTTGAGCCGTTTGAGAAGGTTGGAGGATTAAAGCGGCCGTTTTAAGTAGTTCGAGGGACAAAAGTGAGCCTTGAGCAATACTTTGAGGACAAAATCGGCTATTCCGCCTATGAAAAAGGACTCTTGTTTAAATGTATGTATTTTGCTCCGATGGTGTCCTCCGGCATGCTTGCATTATTGCTGTTGTTTATTCTCATCCAGGTTCCGTACACGCATGACATGTATATGGAGCCATTGACCACAACATGTCTGTACTCCGTTTGCTCTGTATACAATACAAGAAACGCAAGTTGCTCTGTATAATAAGAAACTGAAGAGGAATGTAGGAATGGAGAAGCACGAGGTTGGTTGCCGTATAAGAAACTGACGAAGATGGAGGATGAAGGAACCACGAACAGCTCATATGGGTTTCATACAGAGTTACAGACAGCCAAGTGCAGACTGCGACCTGCCTGCATGAAGCATGCTCTCTCCATGCCAAGGCAGCCCAAGTTTGTGCAGAATCCTGTCGCTCGAGGGGAGCGCTGAACTTCAATTTTGCACCTTTTGACATCAGTTTGAATTTTTAGGTTGAACATGAAACTCAAAGTTTGTCTTTTTTTTTGGCCAATCTGGATGGCTTGGTTTGGTGGGTGTTTCTGTGGTTCACAAATTCACAGCTGAGGCGACTCCAACCTAGCCTCACATGGTTCGACCTTCTGTTTCTGGGATCACTGCTCAACTGCAATCCTACAGGCTGGAAAATATCATGTCCTTCTTCACCCATGACCACTAGCCATGCTCAACTGCATCACTGACAGCGATCGATATAGAACACATCGCCAGCACCTGGGGCCGGCCGCTGTGATTTGCTGAGCCACAGATCATGCCGGAGACTAGAACCTTCTTCGTATCATTATCAACCACCATGTTCATCCACGTCACCAACAAAAATCTACTTCTCACATCACATTTGGTATGACATGTCCTAACCACATTTTTATAGTACTACTACCACCATTTACAAGCAGCTGTGGAGCTCTACAATGGCGCATAATGAAATGATGAAACTACAGAGGGTACCATGCATGACAGCGACCACCCACTCACCTCCAGCCACCATTAGGGCCGCGGCCATGGCCCACCCGCCGAGATTAGCCGGCGCTAATGGTGTGGTTTAATTTTAATATACACTACCAATGCACTACACCGGATGCGTGGCGCAGGACTGCCCTCGCTTCCTGGCCTCACGTTGCCACGCTGGACCCACGGGCGGCGTCCGACGTGGAGCCGGCCAGCGCGGCGGTGGGGTCGTCGTCCTGGCCGGTCAATGGCGTGGTCGTCGTGGTCGCAGCCGCGCAGGCGAGGCGGGCCGGCGCGCCGAGCGCGGCGTCCACGGCGGCGTCGCTCCACCGGTCCTTCATCGCCCGGTTCAACCGCGCCACGAAGCACTCGCGCCGCGCCTCCAGGTGCCTCAGCAGCCGCGCCGACATGCTGCACCCGTGCCCGTCCTCGGCCGACAGAGGTGATTAACTTAGAATATTGGGACGAAGGTGATTAAATAAAATCAAACTCATATTTTAAACTAAATAGCTAATTTGCCTTTTTGGAGGCAAATTAAATGGATATTTTATTAAACACTTCAAAATTCACCAAAGTATGGAATGTGGTACAAGTCATGTGCTTAGAAGTGGTGCAAAGCTTAAGTGGTCAAATGTCTTAAACAAGCTATTTTAAGCACCCCAAGTTTCAATCCGATTCAAATTTCTAGATTAACTTAGAATATTTATGTCCTGAATATGATCAACATTCATGTTGACAAGCAACGTTTTTCGAATTTTATTAAACAACCCAACTTAGTCCAAAAATAAAAGTTGTAGTTTGAACTTTGAATTAGAGTTTGACCAAGTTTGACCTCGGTTTGACTCAGTTTGACCTCTCAAAATCACAGTCAAAACAGTATGTACTTAAACCCTAAAAACAGCTTGACATTATCAACTTTGACACTAATTACCCATTAATCTAGATCCCTAATGACCATAGTCATATGAGCAAAGTTGTAGGGCATGACGAGTAGAACATCTTTTGTGTGGACCCCACACCAGTGTCTACACCGAGCTGTCCACAAATCTGATCCAAACTAGGTCACATGGGCACGAGACAGCTGTTCGACGAATGGCATTTCCTTTAAAAAAAGGAAATGTATTTTTGGTGAAGTTAACTAAAACAACCCTCTATTAATTCAAAATCGGAGGGGGGCAGACCGACCTGAAAATTTAATTCAAAAAACCCTCCATTCATTCAAAATCGGAGCGGGCAGACCGACCCCATCCCCATCCGGCGCCTGTCTTTCCAAAACAGCGCGACTCCGTCCGGGTTCGCGTGTGTGTCGGCCAGTTGTTACTCTTTATCCTTTCCGCCCTACCACACCGCGCCGCCGCCGCCATGGCCATGGCCGCAGACTTGGAGCGGGCGATTCCTCCCACCTTGACCCCATCAGCCTGGTCGGACTCACCGTACCACAAGGTATCATCTCCAAACCATGCCTTCCTTTTTCGTTTGTTCGTTTGAGTTGCGACCGGCGCAGCCGCCATCGCGGCATCGCGAAGCTCGCACCGAGAGGTGTACGCGGTTAGATGATTAAATTTGAATTAGGTTGGGTCTAACCCTAGCAGGAATGGGTATAGATTGGGGCACTAGGGTTCCAACAGTGCCTAATCTAGGCACAGGGATCCAATCCTAGTTTGTAACTAAGAATTATACTGCATTTGTGCATGGATGAGACGACCTCCAATGCCTCTCTGCCCCTTCCATTGGTTTCCATGCCATTTATCAAGGTTGTCCATGTTCTTCACAAGCATTGATTCGAATGCCTCCACTGCACTGTCAATACACCAACATTTCAGTGCCGAGAACAGGCTGTGAGAGGCAAAAACTTCCTTCTTATGTACGAATGTACCCACTTTCTAGTCTCAAGTGCACCTAGGACAGCACAAGCTCACACTGACCATGGTCCACATCATTCAATTCTGCCTCAGCGACTTGCATCTGAGTGAAAAGAGCAAATGCCTCCCGACATTGATCTGCCTGCGTGTAGCCTGAGATCATTGCACTACAAGCAACCTTGTGGACGGAGTAGAATGTTATAGCATATATACTTGGATATATTTTATGCCAATTTGAACTAACTCTTGCTACTGATGAACCAGATGATAACGAACGTGGTATTGGTCCCTGGCGCGTTCATCCCAGTGTTGCTTGATCTGCTCCCAATGATCTTCCTTCTTATCACTCGGTCAGTTGAGAGGACAGTGCAACTCTTCCGGCACCCATGATGGTGGCTTCAGTTGTGAACGCTGCCTACGCTGGCCGAAGATGAATCAGCTACCAACAATGAAGAAAAATCAACTGCGCTAGTGATATATTATCCGACAGTTTTAGTGTCAAACTATCTCTACCAGCTTATTGGTGTGCTTTCACTGTAACAGGCGAATGAGGGTATAAAATCTGAACTGTATACAGTTTGTTTTCTTTTCTGTCTTGTTGTTTGTGTTAATATATGTTTGTGCTATATTTTATTTGAAGGGCATGCCGTTGAGCACTTTTGTGCTTCCTTTTACTGCCTACATTTTCTATGCCAGCCGTTTTGTTACCAGCTCGGTGGAACAGTATGAACGCTGGATTAGCTTTGCACGAATTTTGGCACTCATTATATAGAACACATCGCCAGCTCCTGGGGCCGGCCGCTGCGATTTGCTGAGCCACAGATCATGCCGGAGACCTAGAACCTTCTTCGTATCATTATCAACCACCATGTCCATCCACGTCACCAACAAAAATCTACTTCTCACATCACGTTTGGTATGACATGTACTAACCACATTTTTATAGTACTACTACCACCATTTACAAGCAGCTGTGGAGCTCAAGCATCTACAATGGCGCATAATGAAATGATGAAACTACCGAGGGTACCATGCATGACAGCGACCACCCACTCACCTCCAGCCACCATTAGGGCCGCGGCCATGGCCCACCCGCCGAGATTAGCCGACGCTAATGGTGTGGTTTAATTTTAATATACACTACCCATACACTACACCGGATGCGTGGCGCAGGACTGCCCTCGCTTCCCGGCCTCACATTTCCACGCTGGACCCACGGGCGGCGTCCGACGTGGAGCCGGCCAGCGCGGCGGTGGGGTCGTCGTCCTGGCCTGTCAATGGCGGCGTCGTCGTGGTCGCAGCCGCGCAGGCGAGGCGGGCCGGCGCGCCGAGCGCGGCGTCCACGGCGGCGTCGCTCCACCGGTCCTTCATCGCCCGGTTCAACCGCGCCACGAAGCCCTCGCGCCGCGCCTCCAGGTGCCTCAGCAGCCGCGCCGACATGCTGCACCCGTGCCCGTCCTCGGCCGACAGAGGTGTCGCCGCCGCCTCGGCCTCGGCACCGTCGCCGGCCGCAGCGACGGAGGCGAGGTACTCGACCATGGACTCGGTGACGCGCGCGGGTGCGGCGCCGCGGCCGTCCCAGAGCCACATGCGCGCGACGGCGCGGCGCAGCACGGCGGCCACGGCGTCGGCGGCGGAGTCGGCGGAGGTCGACGCGACGAGACCGGGGCTCAAGGAGACGACGTACTCCCCGGGCGCCGCGGCGTGCACCGTGGCCCCGACGGCGCCCGCGGTGAGGTTGTGGCCGGACATCCGGACGGTGACGCGGCGGACCTGCCTGCGCGGGAACGACGGGTCCGGGAACAGCGCGCGCTCCACGCCGCGGCTGGCGTGCAGGAGGGCGCGCTCGGCGCGGCCGTTGGACACGAAGAGCAGGTCGAACCGCCGCGCCACGGCGCTGCCACGCGGCGCGTCGTTCGCGACGGCGACGGCGAAGCCCTTGGCGGCCTCGTGCTGCGCGGACAGGGACGCGCACGCGACGGTGATCACGACCGCCAGGCGGAGCACGATGCTCTGGGTGGAAACGGAGGAGGAGGAGGAGGAGGGCGCCGGACGGCTGGACGGTGCGGCGTCGGCGGTGATGATGTCGACGCAGGATGAGGCGGCGGGGACGGTGGAGACGGGGACGAGGAGCGGAGCCTCCATTGGAGCGCGAGCACCGCACTGGAGCCGAGGGCCGAGCACGGGAGGAGAAAGACAAGCCCGAGGCTTTGGCTCGTAAGCAAGGCGAGGGAGGAGGCAACCGGTCGAAGCTAAGCTAGTTTGGAATTGGAACTGGGTGGTGGCTGCCACAATAATGCGAGCGGCGCGGGCTATTTAACGGCAAATATTTTGGCGTCCGAGTGGAGTGGGCTGGGCTGATGATTGATTATTAGGTCTGTGTGTTGGTGCGTTGGCCGTCCAGTGTTAGCTTGACAGATTTTTCTCGGACACGTCCAAGGAGAAAGAAAAGATGCTGAAACCAGCAGGCGAACGCAAATCTAGCAGTGCCCATGCTTGATAAGCATGGCTTTATATCCCTGAGATCTAAGCATATAGACATCTATATATAATAACCATCGTTACCATCACAAATATATCAAGAATATCACCCACAACAGATACATAGCACAAATTACAAAACAACCACAAATCTTCTATGTCCTCATAGTGCTGATAGCACGGTCTGGCCATCGTGGTTCTTATGGTTCTGTCCAGCCATACAACATGATCATTCATTACATGGTCGGCCACCACAGTTTTTATGGTTCTATTCAGCCATACAATACGTAGCCATACACTATTGTTTACAATTTGAATTCATGACACTATTAAGCATTTTAGTCTTAGCCTGAAGGTTAGAAAATGTTGATCCAAATATGCACAAAAAGTACTACCAATGCCAGGATGTTCAGTGGTGCAACTAGAAATTTTAAGTGGAGGGGTCGGCTAAACTTATTCTATATTTTTAAAAGGATTGTAATCACAATTTAAGATTCTCAAAGGTTATTGGTATGAAAATAGAGACAGTAAATGTTTGGTAGGAGACAGTAAAATTATGATTCCATCCACTTTGTTGTTTATGTGTCTTCTTCGAAATCTAAACAGGGTTAAAATTTTTGCATGGTGTTGGGGGTGGGGGCGTGGCCCCTGCTAGACACCCCTGGTTCCGCCATTGAAGATGTTGATAAATAGACCCAACTTAATTAGTAGAAGAACTTAAAAGCCCTTTTTACTCTTAAAAAGGAGAGTAAAAAAAGGATCAAAAAGTTGTATTAGTAAGGGACGCCGATTTTCCGCAAGCCTGTAGTAAGGGCACATTCCTAGCAAAACAATGTTATATAACATAACTAGTTAGAGAATTGCTCTAGAAAACACTAAACATTCGTTCATTTTGGAATTTACCTAAAAAATGATATGGGCATTTGGTTCCTACACTGAAGGTTAGGTAGGGGAAAGGACCGCAGTGTTTCTTCCCTGTGCTCATCAGGTGAACTGAATTTCAGGTACGTATTAAAGATGCAGAGCCAATAGCACGTTTTAGGGTAAACTTTGGACCTTTGTACCAAGTAGAGATGATGCCATGCTGAGGAGCGGACGGGGGCTTCAGCAGATAGAGATAGGGGGGCTTGAGCCCCCACACTGGATTCGCCCGTGGCCCATGCAAAAAACAAGGTTAGCGAATAAAAATTGACCGCTAAGCTAGGCGTAAGAGGTGGTGAACAACCTCTTCCTCTGAAACCCACCTGTCCATCAAAACTGTCTCTTGAATTGAAGAGTAACTAGAGACAGCGCGTCGTATTGCAAGTAAAATTCTAGAAACTGACTTTCGGCTCCTGTTTGTGACTATAACCACAATTTATTCAGTAAATCGAAGCAAACTATCATCATGGGAAGTAGGTTTAAAAATCAAAATTTGACTGTAGATATTTTCACCACCCAGCAGAAGCACTAACGAAACACACCGGCCATCAGATCATTCAGGACAATCCAAGCTATACACTTCATCCAACCACCGTCTAACTCTCATCCTCCATAGATTTTTTTTTAACAAAAATATTCATGGTGTCCACGATGGATCCGACAGATCTTCAAATTACTCCCCGTGATTGCAACCCAACTCTTCTTTACACATGCGCGGACATTGTTCACATGTTTTTTTATATGGATTCCATCCTGTCCTGTACCTGAACTCGGGAGATTTTTATGGGTTTCCAGATATTTTCTTTAGTTTTCTTGTATGAAAGAAAACAAAGCTGAAAGTAAGTAAGTATATTATACAAAAAGTAAAAAGGCAGAAAGACCATCAAACTTGAAATGAAGACTGGAATTAAATAAGCAGTAAAAACTTAGCAAAAGCAATTTTTTATATATATTAATTAGGGATTTCATTCCATTCCATTCCGTTCTGTACCTGAACTCGGGAGAGAAAAAAATCTACTTGCCAGCAGCCACGCTGGCGTCCCACGTGTCCGCCATCGGACACGGCAGCGCGACGATCGAGAATACAATCCGAGGCGGCGCACTTGCAAATGGACCCATTCTTTGATTTTAATCTAACGTGGACACCGGCGATCTTTGGGTGGGAGGAGCTCATGGATGGCGGCGAACCGGGTCCGGGAGGCCTCGCCGCCGGTGAATAGCCAATAGCCCAACACGGTGCAACCTGC